GTACCAGCAGCAGTGCCGGGCCGCCGCCAAGGGCTTCCTGAAGGTGAGCGGGCGCCGCGGGCACGGGGCTGAGGAGTGCCAGGCTGCAGCGGGGTCAGGTGTGGTTGGGTCCGGTCCCGGGTGGTTGGAGGTGGACCTGACCCCTCTCTGCTGTCCCCAGCTGGGCCTGGAGCGCTTCCACGGCGTCGCAATCCTGGGCTCCAACAGCCCCGAGTGGGTCATCGCTGACTTCGGGGCCATCATGGCCGGGTAAGGGGGTGCCTTCACGCTGCGGGGTGGGATGGGGGCCCGCGCAGGTGCCAGGGGTGCTTGGGTGAGGGGACATGAGCCGGGCCCTGGTGTGGGTGCAGGTTGTGGCCGGCCGAGGGGGCGCCTTGGGCAGGTTGCTGAGTGGCTCTGGAGCAGGTGGGACTGGAGCGGGTGCAGTTGGGCTGATGGGGCATCTCCTTGGGGCCCCTGGTCTCACGCTGCTGCTCTTCCCCACCCCAGGGGCCTGGCAGTTGGGGTCTACAGCACCAGCTCCCCCGAGGCCTGTGGCTACATCGCCGCCAACTGTGAGGCCAACGTGGTGGTGGTGGAGGACAACGCGCAGCTCAGCAAGATCCTGCAGGTAACAGCAGCTATCCCTCCCCAAGGGGGTTATTGCTTCCCTGCCCCCCTAATCCCACAGGGATCGCCCATCCCTTTCCCTCTCACCACAAGGGGTTCATGTCTCCCCTGCCCCCCATGCACAGTCTTCCCCGACTCCCGTACCGGAGCCACCTTCCCTCAGCCCTGCCAAACTCACTTCCCTAGTGTCCTCACTGTCCCATTCCCCATGATGCCCTGCTCCCTGCCTATCCCTTTAGTCCTGTTGTATAGCCATGTGTACCTGGGCTGCTGGTTGCCCCCAATTTTACCCTTACAACCATTGCAGGATCTTATCTACCCCCTGTAAAGAAGTCTCCCTCTCTCTGTTACTCACTTGGGACAAACCAGGTGACCCCTGTATATCCTGCATTTCTTTTTGGTACTGGCTGGTCAATCAGATGACCCAGACAGGTAAAATTCCCAGGGGGAGGGGAGTGCTCTCTCTTCCTCCAGTGGGCATTTTGAAAGCAACAAGCTGTGGTGGTCCAGTAGGGGGCGCTCCTGCGTTGAGCCACCCACCTCACTGCACCCGACCACCTTCCCAGCTCCGAGTGTCTCCCTGGGGGTGCCTCACGTCCAGCCGACCCCCTTCCTGGGGCACACCCACGGGCCTGGGGGCAACACCACCACCAACCAGGGTCTGGACTGATCTGGGACCTGAGCCCTCTGGGAAACACAGGTCTAGTAGTCCTTGGGAGTGCTTGACTCACTGCAAGAACTTGGGGGGTTTCCCTTAGTCCGAAGCACAAATAGTTGTCAGCTGAACCAAGTCAGCCAAACCAAGGGGACCCCAAGGCATAATCTCGACCCTCTCCCAATACGTCTTCTATGCTAGGTAAAAAGGAGAACTTAATTGGTTACAAGGATTAGGTTTGGGATAGGGTACAGGGTAGTGCAATATCAGAGAAATTCCTTAAACCAAACAGTGGCAAACAGTGGCAAGGTAGCCATTGATCATGCATCTGAGGGTCTTTAGCCCCCTCCCAGTCATGTTGGCATTGCTTAGAACAATAGGGGGTTTAAGCCCCCACCCACCCCAAGTGTGTGAGGCCAGTCACATAGGCAGAGAGAGCAGGTTCCCCCCTCCCTCCGGAATGTATCCAGCTCAGGTTACAACTCAGGGTTACCTGAAGCTGTTGAGGCAGAGGTGTCTGCCCTCTGCAGTGACCATGGTAACCAAATTGTCAGCTAGCAGAGTTTGGGGACAGAGATGGCATTTGCCACACAAGCACATACCTCCAGGATCCAGGGAAAAGGCAGGACCTCCAGGATCCAGCTTGGATGATGCTCCTACTGTAAGTAAAAATCTGGAAACTAGCTGGAAGTCTAGGAGTAAGTATAGGCAGATGCATTGTAAAAGGATTATGTCCAAGATTGTAAAAGACTCTGATTGATTATGTTCGCTCAAAGAGTATTCTGACTTCGTGGTACTACCCTCCCGCCCTCCTCCCTGCCCCCCCCCCGATCAATAAAGGTATCCAGTTATGCCTGGCTGAATTCCTGGGGAGAGGGGAGAGGCAGGCCTTTTTGCTCTCTTTGCTTGGCTAGTGAAGTTGGGCTTGGCTTTTTATTTTCCTCTGGTATCTGATGTTATCTTTGGATGCTTTGGGGAGAAAGGAGCACCCCAAAATATTACTGTGGGCAAAGTACCTCAAGGCTTGCACAGTCTATGTGCCCCAGGCTGCACAGAGCCCTACCAGGAACCAATGCCCGGGTGGTAACAGCGTTACCCCATGCTTGCAGGTGTTCTGCAGGAAAGGGGATGGCCGGCTATTGGCTCCCCAGGGGAGACTCCCGAACTGTTTTTGGGCCTGGCACAATGAGGCAGATGGCTCTGCGTAGCAGCGCTCCCTACTGTGTCACCACACCCCCACGTGCCCTCCCCCAACAGGGAGCTTGGGGATGCAGGTCCCATGGGGCACCTGGCACTGGAATGGGGGTGCTGTGGCAGGGCCTTCCCCTGCAGAAGCCACATTGATCCACGTCCCCACAGGTGCAGAAGCAGCTGCCCCACCTCAAGGCCATCGTCCAGTACCGCGACTCACTGGAGGAGAAGAGACCCAATGTGTACACGGTACGAGTCTGTCATGGTGGTCAGGGTAGGCGGCAGCCCCACCTCCCCTGGCCCTGAGTTCCTGTGTGTCCCCTCTCAGTACCCTGCACCACCCCCAGCACCTGTACCCCCCCACACCACAGACCATCCCCGGCTCACCGGTCTCACAGCCTTGCCCTGCCCAGCACAGCCTGCCGGGGTGCTGGTGTGGCCTCTCCAACATCTCATCCTCTGGGGGCCCCTTCACTGTCATCCTAGAGGGACCCTGGCTCCTTCCCCTGCTCCCACTCCAGCACCATTCCCACGGCACCTGCTGGCAGGGGGCAGCGCTCCTTTCCACCTCTCCTCCACCATGGCCTGATCCTGGCTGACCCGTTCCCTGGCAGTGGGAGGAGTTCATGGAGCTGGGGAGGACCGTGCCCGACTCGCAGCTGGACTCCATCATCCGCTCCCAGTGCGTGAACCACTGCTGCACCCTCATCTACACCTCGGGCACCACGGGCACGCCCAAGGGCGTCATGCTCAGCCACGACAATGTGAGTGCTTTTACCTGGGCCCAGCATGGCTGGGTGAAAGGGCAGGGAAGAAGAGTGGGGTGGCCCTGGGTACTGGGTGGCACCTGAGCCAGGCACCTAAGTGCAGGTTACCCAGCATGCTTAATGGTGCATCTTCCTCAGGGTGGGGGGATCCTTCAAGCCATGCCCACACACCAACCTCAGCCACACATGTTGCCAGGGGCTTTCCTGTGGGTTTCAGACACACCTGTGGGGGCTTCAACCTTCCCCTCTGGCTGCATCACCCAGCTCGAGAGCCTGGGCTCCCTGCCTTGGGGCTTATCTAGGCCCCCCGTCATGTCAGTCCCTCATCCATCCCAGCTCATGTCCCCTCTGGAACTGGGTGCAGTTGCCCAGGCCTGTTCACACCCTGTGTCCCAGCTGTCCTGCCCTGGAGGCACCAAGCAACTGAACCCACTTCCTGACCCTGCCTCCCTGAGCACCCAAACGGCTCAGCAGCCCCTGTAGTGGAGTTTGCCGCGTGACTCACTCCACTGCCAGGACTGGGGATCATTTGGCCATTGGACAAGAGCACAGCCCAACTGTGATGAGACTCCTTTGTGCAAGCTTAGATGCAGCGTTAAGGTAGAGCTGCCAGACCCTCAGCGAGGACTTTTCCCCTCCATCCTATGTCCTGGGTGGGTTATTTGCTGCTCCTAGACACTTCCTCTGGTTGGTCTGATTTCACCAGCTTGGTTCACTGGGACTTTGGGAGCTGAACAGCAGTACTTTTATGGAGTGGGAGGGTGCTGCTTAGATGGGATTTCTGTCCTTGGCCACTGTCTTAGCAGAGCCTTGTGTGAGTGGTGCGTGTGCTGATCAGTGCTTCTGCCAGCCAGCGTCCAGCCCAGCCTGCAGCCAGTGCCCTGTTTTCTTTTCACCTTGGTCTGTGCTTTCATGGGCAAGGTTTCTGTTTTCACCTCTTAACACACGTATCTGTTATAGCCAGACCACGGAGAGGACATTGGGCTACCTCAGTCGCTACTAGTAGCACTTGCAGACTGACGTTATGGTGTACTGGGACGATTTATTTTAAGGCCTTCTTTTCAATTCTCTTCTTTCAGGCCTTGGCTCTGCTTCATTTGATCTGGTTTAGCTGTATGTGTTAGTTGCCTGATTTTCTTTGCTGGCCCGGCTAGTTGTGACCTGCATAAAGGCTCACTCTGTGGGCACTCAGAAAGCGGCTTGTGACCACCTGCTTGAGCCACACATCTGTATCTTGGCCCAGGCCCTTGACAGCGATTATACATTGCTGCCTTTCCATGCTCAGTGACCAGGAACACACAAGCCGTTAGTTGGATTCCAGCTAGCTGTCCTCTGATCATCCCAACGGCAGCTGTGGTGGAAACAAGCTGGCAGACAAAGATGACATTAACCACAACCACTGCCTTGTGGATTTCCTTGGGAGAGGTGAAGGCTAAGGGAGTAGATCCTGAAAGAAAATCTGGAGTGGAGCCTCTGCCTCTAAGACAGTTAGGCAATTATTCAGTCTTCTTTCTGGCAGCTCCTACAACATTCCCAGCTCCACTTCATATTTGTTCTATCTTCCCCATGGATAAGTTGGCAAAGTTGAAAGGGTGATGCTAATGCTTTGGCAACTTTTGATTACCTAAGAAATGCCCAGGCTTTTGCTCCCTGGAGAGGTTACTGCAGCTTCACCAACATGGTGAAACAATGGGAGTCAACCGTTACCAGTTATGAGCCATGTACCGATTGGCATACATCCAGGCACCAGGGGTTGTCTCCAAGGTGGGAGAGGTCATCATGCCTCATTAGAAAACTCTTGCGTGCCTCAAACTGGGCAGTCCCCAGCCACTAAGGTATTTTCCCACCACAGTCTGCTGCTTCAGTGGGTGCTTGGAGCTTAGAGAGTCAACTTGAAAGCAAACTGCTATGACACACCACTAGCTACTACAAAAAATGTAAGGAATTGGCTGCCTGAAAGAGAAGAACTAGACCTTTTTCTGGTGTGGTAAACAGCCCGAGGAAATCAGGGAGCACGGTGTTGACTTTGCAGTCAAAACTAAGCTGCTGTTTGCAATACACATCCCAGACAAAGGCTCTGAAAGGTTAATGGTGCTTTGACTCACTACTGTCTCTGGTCCTGTCAGTCTCTGATGTGCATATGCTCCAACTCTCACCACTTCATCCAAATCAAAGGACCACTTCTACCGTGAGCTTAGTGCCTGATTCAATAGTAGTTTTTCTAATGAAAAAATCCTCCTGCTTGGAGACTTCAATGCAGGGCTTGGCACTGAGCGCACTGCCTGGCCTCGTTGTTTGGGCACCAGCGGTGTCGGCAGAATGAATGAAAATGGACATTTCCTTGAGCTACGTTCATGCAATGAGCTATGTATAACAATTTTTTTTCTTCAACGTGAAACTTCAACACAAAGTATTCTGGTGCCACGTATGATCTGGACACTGGCATCAATTTGACCTGATTATCACCCACTCATGAGACTTCCATGATGTAATCATTGTGCAATCTTATCAGAGTGATGCCTGTGATACCAATCACTTATTGGTTTGCACTAAAGTGAAATAGCATCCCAGGAAATTGTACAAGAGGAACAAACTCGCCTTACTATGACTAAATGCCATGCGACTGAAAGCTGAAGACATGTCATCGCAATTCATTAAAACTTTCTCCAGGGCTCTGTCATATCTTAAGCTGTGTAATACTGCTGAAGAGAAATGGGTTCAGCTCAAAGGAGCCATCTATCAAACTGCCTTGGACTCTTGTGGTACCTTGCATCACAGCTCAAATGACTGGTTCAATGAGAACTCATCTGAAATGATCCCACTTATAGAAAAGAAACGGTTAGCTTGTTGCACTTAGAAAGCAGATTTTTAAACCTAGTGCTCTGAAAATTGACACAACATTCAGTTGATGAATAGCAGAAAGGCTTGCTTTAATAACTTCCAGCAAACTACAAAACTAAATAACAGAAAAAGACTCTTTCCTAATATAAAACTAGCTATTGGTCCTTAGTATTATCTTAGCTGCACAGAGATCTTTACCCAATGCAGGCAGGAAGCAGTTTTTGTACAGCCTCAAAGCGTGGATCCTTCACTTGTTGGCTGGATGGCAGGATGGCTTGGTCTGGACTGCACACACCATGCTGACAAATCTGCTTAGTTTTTATACTGTTTAATTGTACAGCTTCAAAGCATTTTTACTTGATGGTTGGCTGATTGGAGTCCAAACAAACAGGGAAGAAAAGGCTGATCATTCATCATAACGCAACTGTTAATTGCCTGGCTCCTGTTCTGGATTTGTCTAGGTGTGAAGACTGTGGGGGGGTTTTTTCTGCAGCCCCTGCAGCCATAGGTCAATTTACAGGTGATGGGTGTGATGGTCCAACAGGATCCTTAGAGGTGTCACCAAACCTGTTTGGGGGTATTTGTTTGTCAATGGGGCACATTTGCAGTAGCTTGTATGGGTGATGGTCTGTTTACCAAACTCCAGACATGAATGGTTCAGACATTTTAACACCTTGCACTTGGATGCTTGTTGGGAGAAATGTGAGCAGGGTGTGTTTGTTATGTACAGGGCATCCCTTCCTGTACCTTTTACAAGTTTCTCTTGAAAGGCATATTTATTTAGTCTTTGTTTTCTTTAGCTGCCAAGTCAATTGAAATGCATATGTAGTTACCTTGCCTTCACTGGCTCAGCCTTTCCTTTGGCTCTCTTAGGTACACACACATGTGATGAGTGGGTCAGGTGTCTGCCAACAATTTTAACCACTTTTATTATTTTATGGCATGGGTCTGGTATTGGGTACCACACTGTCTTGATGCCTAATGGGTTGCAAGCCATTAGCGGAGTTTGATTCTCTTGTGGCAGTCTTGTTACCACAATCCAGTCTTGCCCCAGCCATTGTCTTGTACACCGTCCAGGCTTTCACAGGTTTCATATGCAGCAAGCTCTCCTTAAATATAAGTGTGACCTTAGCCACTCCAACTGGGAGGCGCTTCAAGAGATCTGACAAAAGGTTAAACGTATAGCGATATGGTGTGCAACGATTATTGGCTACAACTGTGCAAAAGTATCCAAAAAGCTGCTGACTGAGGTGACGTGCAAGCAATTTATGGTGGCATCAGGAAAGCTCTTAGACCTGTTCCGAGGAAGACAGCCCCTTTAAAATCTTCCACAGGCAAAATCATCAATGACTACAATAAGCAGATGAATCAATGAGCTGAACATTATTCAGATGCTCTACTCTCGTGAAAATGTGGTTATGACTTTGTTCTCAATGTGCTTGATGACCTCTCAACCCTGACAGTGCTTGACCATGACCCTACCATAGATGAAGCACAAAAAGCCATTGATCAGCTTGCTTGTGGTAAAGCCCCTGGTGTGGACTGCATACTTGCTGGAGTTAAATCCATCCTCCTCTTCCACCTGCACAAATTAATATGTCTGTATTGAAGAGAAGTTCCTCAAGACAAGAAGGAAGCAAGCATAGTCACTCTGTGCAGAAACAAAGGTGATAGGAGTGATTGCAATAACTATCATGGTATATCCTTACTTTGCAGCATTGGGAAGCTGTTCACCAAAGTCACCCTGCTTAGACTGCAGACCCTGGCAGACAGTCTACTCTGAGCCTCAATGTGGTTTCAGATCCAGTAGATCCACGATGGATATAATATTCTCCTGGAGACAGCTACAAGAAAAGTGGCATGAACAAAGGACATTTCTGTATGTAGCATTTATAAATCTCACCAAAGCTTTTGATATTGTCAGCAGAGATGGTTTGTTCATATCCTGAAGGCGAGTGGCTGCCCTCCTAAGCTCCTGTGCATCATCAAGTCCTTCCACATCAGTATGCATGGAACAGTGCTGCTTGATGGGTCACATTTGGAAGATCTGAAATGAAGGGAAGTGTCAAAGAGGGCTGTGTCCTAGCTCTGACACTTTTCAGCATTTTCTTCACTGTCCTACTCAAATATGCATTCAGTGGCTGTTCAGAAGAAGTATACCTTCGGACCGGATCCAACGGGAAACTCTTTAACCTTGCTCATCTCTAACAGAAAATGGAAACCCGAGAAGTTTTTGTCAATGAAATACTCTTTGCCAATGATGCAGCAATTGTTAGTCATTCAGAAGCAGGATTGAAAAGGCTCATGGATCACTTTTCTTGTACTTGTGATGATTTCAGTCCTACCATTAGGCTAAAGAAGACAGTAGTCATGGGTCAACAAGTTGACCACCCTCCCGAAGTTAGAATAATTGATGAAAGCCTGAAACTGGTTGAAAAATTCACTTACTTGGGCTCCACTATATCACTAAATCGTGGCTTGGAAGCCAAAATTACCACTTGCACTGGAAAGGCAAGCAATGCTATGGCTAAACTTCAAAAGAGAGTTTGGAAAAACAGAATGCTCACTCTGTCAATAAAGATGTCTGTCTACAGTGCTTCCATACTTAGCTCTCTATTGTGCAAAAGGCAGCGAAACACAGACTCCTTATGCTAAGGAAGAAAGAAAACTGAACAGTTTCTATCTTTGCTGTCCCTGCTGTATCCTGGACATAACATGGAGTGACAAAATCTCCAACTTCACTGTTCTGGAACTAGCCAAGATACCCAATATGTTTGTGCTCCTGAGACAGAGACCCCTCCGTTGGTTTGAACATGGGAATCGTATGCGTGATAACCAAAACTCCAAGAGCATACTCTTCAGTGAGCTGGTCACTGGCAAATGTCAGCTTGGATGGCCCAAACTCCATTTGGTTGATGTCTGCAAAAAACCCTTTGTGGGCTGCACATTGATGGCCAGCACTAGGAATCAATCACTTCAGACTATTGTGAGTGGAAAGTTGCCATAAAGCAAGGCCTACGTCACTTCGAGATGGAGAGAGTCAGTGATGAGAGAGAAGACACATCAGACAGAGGCAAGACAAGATGCTACTTGACATGCCAGTAGAAGCTCGACCGAGTTTGTACGTGCAACTTGCTGGAGGATCTGCTTGTCGCACATTGGACTCCTCAGCCACTCACGAAGCTGTGACAGTACCCTTTAACACACCTAAGACACAATCTCTATGGTCTCCTGAGATTAATGGCTGCAAATGATGAGGCTTATCATTAATCAGCCCCTGTCATCATGTTACACAAATTGCCAATTGCTCAAATCACGAGTGAGGCTTTATGAGGGAGGATAAGGCAAGATGCTGCATTTATTGATTAAGTGCTTAATACACGCAGACACACATCACATTCATACCCCAATTTCTGTTCTGCACTGGTATACATTACCAGTCTTATCAGTACTCGGATCAACTCAGTGGCCATCCAAGTTGATCACAAGTAGGAGCTGGGCTCCTGCCGGTCCATCTCATCAGACCGACCAATGCTCCACGATGACATGCAGAACAAGACCCAAAATCGATATGTCTTGCCCTATCTTTTATAGCCTTTTCAATTTACCCAGTCCTCTGGGCTTCGCTGTGTTATCACTGTGTTCTTCCTGGAAGGTCATTGCCGCTGTTCTCTTGCTGTTCAGGGGCAGATTCTTCTTGTCTGGTCTTTTATCTGTCTGCATTCTTCAGCCAGTCACTAGCTGATGTTTTCCTTTTCCACAAACACACTCTCACCCATACAGGATACAAAAGAGTAAAAGGTTGAGCACTTATGACAAGCTACAGAGCAATACAATATGGCGTTTCTTAAGGAAATGCAAAACTCAAGAAAATATAAAAGATTAAAAGCAGTAGGCAAAAAGTCTATTTGTATAACAGTCATGGTGTTCCAGGTACTGAGCATGTCTGAAGCTTGCACAGGGCCTAGACCAGTGTCTCAGGAGTAGCCACACTGGAAGACACAAGAAATCGATTCCAGCTCTTCTGAGGTCCAGTGAGCACCTGTCCCAGTGCAGACTGGGTGCTGGGGACCCAGGGAGACACACAGGGATGCAAAGGGCCAGGCTGTAGCTCCTGTGTGCCAGAGGGACTGGGGTGGGATGGGAGCTGGCTGTGCCCTGAGAGCAGGCCCATGTGTTGCTTGGGCCCAGTCTCTGCAGCCAGACTGGGCTCTCCTGGCCACAGCTTGTGGCATGTTGGCCATGCAGCACGCCAGCCCTAGCAGGTGAGGTAGAGGCCATCATCTTGGCCTGATATTGGGTTAGTGTTAAGTGATGCCCTAACCACTGCAGGTGTCGTGGGAGGCCAAGATGCTGAAGGAGGTGCTGGGGCTTCAGGTTCAGGAGGTCTTTATCAGCTACCTGCCCCTGAGCCACGTTGCCGCGCAGATCGCAGACCTCTGGCTGCCCATGTGCGTGGGGGGTACCACCTGTTTCGCTCAACCCAACGCACTAAAGGTAATGGGGACCAGACTGGAAGGTGCTAGTGGGAGGATGCAGGGGGTAGTGGGCACAGAGTTAGCAGCCCCTGTTGGACTTCCCAGCTGATCTCTGCCTAGCCAGGGACCCCAAGGTCAAGGGCCACTGTCTCAGCAGCAGCTCCAGAGAGGTGACTTGCTGCTTGCTGAGACATCCCCCCGCCTCTTCCCTCACCACTCCACAGTTATCCTCTGTCACCACTGCCCCCCAGATCTGGCCCTCCCCCAGGAACCACAGGTCCCACATGAGGATTGCCTGTGGAACCTAAAGCCACGAGGATAGCACCTAGTCCAAGCACCTAGTCCAAGCTCCGTGCCACATGCTGATTATTGCTCCCAGTTCTCTGCCATTGCCCCTGCCAAAGCTGCACAATATCCTTCCTGAAGCCATTCGGTGCCTTGCCCAGAACCCTTCGGGGTGTTCAAGCCCCATTCCAAACCAACACTTCTCTCATCACTGGAAGGCTTCTTCCTCGCTCTGTGTTGAATTTGTTTCTGACCAGTCTGTGCTTGTTCCTCCCTAAGCCTGTGCTGCTCTTTCACTACCTGACTCTCCCCCGCCCTGCTCTGCCCCCCACCCAGCCGTTCAGAGCCGATCACATCCCCCAACCCCCGTGCTGTCGGGTAGAAAAGCTGAGCTCTGTTCACTTCTGCGTGGATGGGTTCTCTCTCCTGCTGCCTGTCCCGGGCACTCTTCTCCACCCCTGGGCAAGGCTAAAGGCCCTGGACCTGAACGTGGGTGACAGAACTGCAGCCTGTTTGCAATGGGGTCTTCTTGGTGCCTTACACTGATTCCCTCCCCCTGTCTGCTAAAATACCCCTCCAGCATGCCCTGCCATCACACTGAAGGGATCTCCTGTGCTCATCCAGCCCAGTCCTCTACCTGAGGCAGATCATCCCTGTCCAGGTCATCCCATACAAACCATAATGTAGACTCTCCACAAGACGACTGTCAGTCCTAACACAACACAGACCTAACCCCTAACCTGCCACAGGGAAAGCAGGGGGACTGTGGCAGCCAATGTCCTGCTGCTGTAAAGGTTTCATATAGTTCATAGACATTAGGGCTGGAAGGGACCTCGGAAGATCATCGAGTCCAGCCCCCTGCCCAAAGGGCAGGAAGTCAGCTGGGGTCATAGGATACCAGTAAGATAAGCATCCAGATTCATCTTGAAAGTGTTCAATGAAGGCGCTTGAACCACCTCCGGTGGCAGGCTGTTCCAGACCTTGGGGGCTCGGACAGTAAAGAAATTCTTCCTTATGTCCAGCCTGAAACGGTCTTGAAGTAGTTTGTGACCATTCGACCTCATCATCCCTTGGGGCGCTCCGGTGAACAAACGTTCCCCCAGATGCTGGTGGTCACCCCTGATAAACTTGTAGGTGGCCACCAGATCACCCCTGAGCCTGCGCTTTTTCAGGCTAAAGAACCCCTGAGGTTGTTAATATATACTCAAGAGCCCCCAGGTAGAAGCCATGCCCCTCACTACAGAGGAAGGCCCAGTGCATGCTAATCAGACCTGGGTATAAAATTCCTTTTGACCCCAAACATGATGATCAGCTTGACCCTGAGCAGAGGAGTAGGACCCTCTAGCCAGGAACCTCCAGGTTTAAGTGTCAGCAGGAGCACTGGCACAGCCCAGTCCCCATCCCCTGGCTGGGCTGCAGCCAGCAGCCAGCGCCTCTGAGGAAGGCCTAAAAACCCCCTGAGACATGGAGCAGAAAGGGGGAAAGGGGCAACCAGCACAGCCCAGAAGCCTGGAAAATCCCCATAGTAGAATACAGGTATCGCGTTGCCTAAAGCATGCCTGCCTGGAGGCTGTCCACCCTCTCCTTAAACACCAACAGTGCTGGAGAGTCCACAGCTTCCCTGGGCATCTATTTCATTTCCTCCCTGCCCTAACACTTTCTAAATGCTCAATATTCTCCAAGGACAGACCAGCCAGCCTCACCTCAGTCCCTGGAAAAGCCATGGAGCAGGTCCTCAAGGAATCCATTTCTAAGCACTTGGAGGAGTAGAAGGTGATTAGATTTCATAGACATTATAGATTTCATAGATTTCATAGATATTAGAGCTGGAAGGGACTTCAGAAGATCATTGAGTCCAGCCCCCCTGCCCCCGGGGCAGAAAGTCAGCAGGGGTCATAGGATCCCAGCAAGATAAACGTCCAAATGTCTCTTGAAGGCGTTCAAGGTAGGCGCTTGAACTATTTCTGGCAGCAGGCTATTCCAGACCTTGGGGGCTCGGACAGTAAAGTTCTTCTATATGTCCAGCCTGCAACAGTCATGAAGGAGTTTGTGACCGTTAGACTTTGTCATCCCTTGGGGCGCTCTGGTGAAGAAACGTTCCCCCAGATGCTGGTGGTCACCCCGATAAACTTGTAGGTGGCCACCAGATCACCCCTGAGCCTGCGCTTCTCCAGGCTAAAGAGCCCCAGGGCTCTCAGCCTGTCATCGTAGGGTCTGCTTCCCTGACCTCTGACCATGTGCGTGGCTCTTCTCTGGACTCTCTCAAGCTTCTCCACATCCTTTTTGAATTGTGGAGCCCAAAACTGGACCCAGTACTCCAGCTGCGGCCTCACCAAGGCCGAGTACAATGAGAGAATGATGTCCCAGGATTTGCTTGAGAAGCATCTATGGATGTAAGCCAGCGTTTTACTTGCTTTACTAGCTACAGCATCACATTGAAGGCTCATGTTCATCTTGTGGTCAGTCATGACCCCCAAGTCCCTTTCGTCCATAGTGCTAGCCAGCACAGCACCCTATAAGCATGCTGCAGGTTTTTCTTCCCAAGGTGGAGAACCTTGCATTTTTCAGTGTTAAACACCATCAGGTTCTCATCCACCCATTTCCTGCACCTGTCAAGGTCAGCCCAGATCACCTTCCTGCCCTCAGGTGTGGAGACTTTACCCCAGAGTTTGGTGTCGTCAGAGAACTTGGCCAGTCCACTTCTGATACCAATGTCCACATCATTAATGAAGATGTTGAATAGTGTTGGCCCAAGGCCGGAGCCTTTAGGGACCCCACTGGTCACAGCTCACCGCAATGATTGACTTCCATCAATCACCACCCTCTGGGTTCTACTGCGGAGCCAATTCCCCAGCCAGTGATTCGTGGTGTGGCCGAGGCCGCAGTTAGCCAGTTTTGCCAAGAGGTGATCATGGGATACCAGATCAAAGGCTTTTTAAAGTCAAGATATATGACATCAATCTCTTCTCCCTTGTCCAGGTGATAGGTCACCTGGTCATAAAAGGAAATAAGATTAGTCAAGCGAGACCTACCCACAACAAACCCGTGCTGGCTATCCCTCAGGATGTTGCCGTCAGACAGTCTGTTAAGAATGGCCTCTTTGATCATCTTTTCTAAGACCTTCCCCAGGATAGAGGTCAGGCTGATGGGCCTGTAGTTTGCCGAATCCACTTTCCTCCCTTTCTTGAAGATAGGCACCACATTGGCCTTCTTCCAGTCTTTGGGCACTTCACCAGAGTGCCAGGAGCTCTCGAAGATCCATGCCGGGGGCTGAGCTATGATGCTCGCCAGCTCCTTGAGAACCCTGGGGTGTAAACTGTCAGGGCCTGCTGACATGAAGGTGTGCAGCCGCTCAAGGTGTTCCTTCACAAGGTCAGCATTGATGGAGGGTAAGGACTGTCCCTCACCCGGGCCTTCCTGTCCCATAATGGGCAGCGGTTTCCCATGGGACTGGTGAAAGACCACCACAAAGTACCCATTTAGTAAGTTGGCTTTTCCCAGAGCGTTGGTTGTCAGTTGTCCCATGTGGTTTAGCAGGGGTTCAATGTTGCCCTTGCTTTCCCTTCAGCTCCTCACATATCTGAAAAATGACTTTTTATTATCCTTAATCCTTAATACTTGTAGCTATTTGGAGTTCAGTCACAGCCTTGGCTTTCCTGGTTCGCTCTCTGCAGGTCTGGACCAGAGCAGAGTATTCCTCCTTGGAGGTGGATCCAGTCCTCCATCCTTTGTAGGTCTGTCTTTTTAGATGCAGGTCCGCCAGTTCCCTGGAGAGCCAAGGGGACTGCTGTGCCCTTTTGCTGCCTTTCTTCCGAGACAGGATAGACTTTGCTTGCGCATCCAGAATTGTTCCCTTGAGAAGCAACCACTCTTCCTGAGCTCCCCTCCCCTTTGGGTTACGGCCTTTTAGGGTCTCACTGACAAGCCTCTGAGCTTGTCAAAGTCAGCTTTCCTGAAGTCAAGGACTTCTGTATTGCTGACTGACTTGCCAGCTTTACAGCAGATGGTGATGTTGATCAGCTTGTGGTCACTGTCACCCAGCTTCCCTTCAATCGTTAGGTCACTAATTAAGTTGTCCCCCATTGCCAGTACCAGGTTGAGCAGCACTTTACCTCTCATCAGCCCATAGACTTCCTGCTTCAGATAGAGCTCATCCACACATGAGAAAAAGCTTAGCAACCATTCAGATTTGGCACGAGATGTCTGGGTAGTTGAAGGAACAGTCAGCGTGGATTCACCAGGTAGGGGCAAGTCATGCCTGACCAACCTGATTGCCTTCTATGATGAGATGACTGGCTCTGTGGGTGTGGTGTACCTGCTTTTAGCAAGCCTTTTGATATGGTCTCCCACAGTATTCTCACAGGAAAGCTAAGGAGGGATGGGCTGGATGAATGGACTGTGAGGTGGACAGAAAACTGCCTACAGCATCAGGCTCAGGGGATAGTAATCAATGGCTCAATGTCAAGTTGGAAGCTGGTATCAAGTGGAGTGCCCCAGAGGTCAGTCCTGCAGCCAGTTTTGTTCAATGTCTTTATGAGCGAACTGGAAGAAGGCATATAGTGCCAAGTTTGCAATGAACACCAAGCTGGGGGTGTAGTAGATATGTTGGAGGGTAGTACTTAGATTCGGAGTGACCTAGACACATTGGAGGATTGGGCCAAAAGAAATCTCATAAAGTTCAACAAGGACAAGTGCAAAGTCCACTTAGGACTGAACAGTGCCATGCACTGGTAC